GATAAAGACTGTAACACTTTTGTTAAACATATATAAATTGAAAAATATTATTTACAATTTATTATTAATATTTTGCATTTTTGTACTAATTCCTATACTGAATTAATCACGCCAAATTTTTAAAATATAAAAATAAATTTTATCACATTCTTGTATATCCTGAATTTGAGGAAGAATTTAAGAGAAAAACAATAATTAATTACATGTGAGAACGCTAGTAAATTTTACTAGATTCGTTACCGAGATGTACTTGTTGACAACCGAGGTTTAGCAAATGTTTGATATCTGCATATTTTCTCAGGAATGTTATTTAAATATATGTATGACGGGATACGCGTTGTTAATACATTAAATTCGAAAACGTGGAAGAAAAAGGGGATTAAAACATTCTAAAGTCTTCGCGGCTCTTCCTTTTCATTCTTTCTATCAGTACGAAGTATACGTTGCGGTTATTGCCGCTGTTAAAGTCCAAGTTGATGATTTTCTCGAGCCGGTTGCACGGCAAAACTAGTACATATTCCACCGCATTCTTCCTGCCTGTGTCTTGTCGACCGTCCGAGAATTAACCGCCACGATACGCGACGATACGAGATCGGTTCTTGCGGGAGTCAGGATCTCGCGGTACGACGCGTTCAAAGAATTTCCGCGAGTGAATTTTTCTGTCTAGAACAAGAAAACGTGACGCCAGTTGTGGATACTTAATTGAGCGGTGAGATATCCGCTAATGAAAACAACTTCTAGAAAATTGGTACGTGTCGAACTGTGGAGTGGAAACATATCGATCCAAAGTCATGTCGCACTTATAAGAATGTGAAAATATGCATTTTTTAGTAACCTCACATAGTGTTAATTATAGAAATAGGAACTTTAACAAATTATTGTCATACAAATGAAATTCAATAAAAAGAAATTATTACATAAAAGCTCGATATAGAAGCTCTGTAGATCTATCATTATCATTTTTAACATATAATTAGTTAGTGTGCTACAAATAACGATCGAAACGGCTATTGCAAAATATGTACGTTGATCACGAACAATTCTTTTTGTAGTATATCTATTCATTGAGATTGCAAATTCAATCAGTAAAGTACATATCTAATAGTTCAAATAATGTTTAATGTTTCATGGTATATAGAATTAATTCCACCTTTATAGTTCATTTCTTTTTTATCATATAATTGCATTTTAGTTTCACATGACAAGATCAATTTTTTTCAGAAAAATCTAAGGGATAGCAAATATTCCCTACTTTTCTCTCTCTCTTCTCACGAGTCTACCCAGTCTGCCGGCCTTCGCGCACCAAAGGAAACGAAATCGAATGCATTCCAAGCCGTAAGTCACTCTCGACAATATCCTCCTCTACTCGCAGCACCCTCGTGCGTGGGCAGTGGCGTTTATGTCGCACGATGGGCGGATTATGTTCCACGGCGTGCCGACACAAACCCGCGAGTAAAAAAAAAATGAATGGATCGTACCGACGAGACCGCCAAGCCGCGCCGTCAATGAGATATCCACGTGCTAATGAAACACGACAACCGGCGCAAAGGCACGTCCGATCGCATGGCGTGGTGCGCCCCAAGCACAGCCACGCCGGCTACGCAGGTTACGGAACGATGACAGCAGAACGAACGTTACGGGAAAGAGTGACGACCGGTTCTTCGCACTTGATTGCCAAATACACCAAAATAGAGATAGGGAAATAGAGATAGGATTATTATATATGAATGAATAGACGATTCATCGATTATTTTTATTTACATACTGCGAGAAATCTTTATATCTGATAAAATATTACTTTCTCTTTCTTCTTTATTATCAAACTCGACAATCGAGTGCCGAGAAACTTATAGTTAAATCGAAAGAATAAGTATTCAAATTGATGATACTGAATACAAAATAAAAATAATTTATAATATATTACTATAATAACTACTAACTAAATAACTAATAACAAATTATTTGTTGCTATATTGTTCATTATTAATATTTTTTACATTTAGCTATGTATTGGCTAGAAAAATGTTATTTTTTGTCGCAGAATTTATAGTATTTATTATAATTCATTGTAATTATTCGAACTATAATAGCTTGTTTTGTATTAAAACATGAATAGGGGGACAGCAGATTTTTTTAAGAGTTAACATAATATTTTCTTTTACAAAATCCAATTTCAAACAAAATTTAAACAATTAGATTCACGAAAAATTTGTGTTCCAAGTATTTGCGAATAAACATGCGTAAATGCATTTTGACACTTTGCGACTTTTTTTTATTCAATTTTTCGGTTTGCCGTTAACGTTTCAGAAAGTTGCCGGTTCACTGTCGTATCTCATTAACACGAATGCTCATTGACAAGTTCATTACTCCGTTCATTCACTGTCGAGGCAGGTCGCTCGCCTCTCGCATCGCAAATGCAAACACTGCCGGTTGCAAGGAAAATCAAGAAACATGTTTGAGCGCGTATACCGGGGTTACTGCAATGGACGAGTGCAACTTAGTTATAGTAATTCGCAACGATTCATGATGTTTTGTGTTACCAATCTTGGACTTAGAGAGACATGAATTAAGATTATTGTTACGATAATTACATACAACGCCCGCATGTTTTACGTGAACTATATACAGCAGCGAGTGCACGATCGGACTTAATGCGGTATCGTAACATGATATTCTCCCTTTCTTCTCCGGAAGAAATCGTTGATCATTCCAAGTATTTGACTGAATACTATTTTTTAGTCGGCCTTATGACAATTTACAAGAGAAATTATTTTTGTTATAGAGCGATTTTTTATAGAACCATTTTTCAATTGACTTTCTTTTTATCTTTTAAGTTACAACATTTATAATGCTGTAAAAATATTTACTAAATCAATTTAATAAATCTTTATTAAATCTGTTATTTTCAAAGCAATATCTGTTCAAAGAAGAATCGGAATTTTTTATGTTTTTACTGACCATTAAAATGAAGATTAATTTTCACGTTATATGTAACTTTCCATATTTTCAATTATTATATTGAATTTTTATTCATAATATTTACACTTGTTAAACAGATCCACATTGTACTAAATTACATTTAAATCATAAGTAGTTCTCCAAACATGTCTATGAATTGAGGCGATAGTTCTGCAACTCTAAAACATGTTTTCGTACGACAAATAAAAAAAGGAATAGCCGAGAGCAAAAGAGCTTAAAAAGGAAAGTTTGCCTGTGGAATGGCACAAACTATGTGGTACGTAAAAAGTCGCGCAACGAAACGGCGAATGCCGTAAGCTCATTTTTACGAAGCTGCGGACGTGGCGTCGTTTCGGATAAAGGGTCTTGACTTTGCAAACTTGTCGGCGGCGGTTACCAAAGAGGCGGTCCGAGACGAGCGTGGGAGGACGCGAAAGGAGATCGGCGGTCGAGAACAGCCGCGAGACTTTAAAGTACTGTCCGACCCAGTCGGACCCGTATCCGCAAGTGATTCGTTTGGCCAGTTCCATGACGAAAGATCGAGTGACAAGCGAATGCGCCGACAATTTGCATACTCGTCCGTTACAATTACGCTTGCGTCGTCGGCGTGAGAGTCATCGCTCGTTAACGATGCCCTCAGGGAGACGGATTAAACCGGGATTGTGACACGTGACACAAAACTTGCAGCCCCAAGAACCATGTGACGAAAATATTCAGATTTCAACTAAACAAGCGAGAAACTGTATTTCGTTCTTAATTATTCAACGTAGTTTTAGAAATAATAAACATTTGAAAATTGAAAATAATCATTAAGAATCAAAAGAATAAAATTAAATGTAATTTCATGGCAAATGTAATTTGAATAAATATAATAAAAATTCAAACAATAATAAAGACAATTGATTGTGTAAAAGTATAAATCAATACTGAGAGAAACGTTTGGTTAGATTAATTAGAATTCTAATTGAAAATGGACGAATTAAAATTTTCTGATTAAATCTACTAGAATTCTTAATTGAAATAACCAGAATTTTGATAGATAATCAAAATCTTCTAGTTCGTCTATTTTTAATCAGACATTTTTCTCAATGTACGTTTAGAAATAAATATAGTTTCCTGACTATCTATTAAATTACTAATGTATAATAACTTTTCAAACAATAACTTAAGTTCTTTTAAATTAAGCTTTTTACATATATGGAATCAATATTTTTCCTTGAAACTTAATTATGTCCGTGCGTTAAGTTATGAAAGGATTATTACGAAATAAGTTGCGAGTTAACGCGGAAACCTCTGCTAAATACACGTCATGGATTTTCAGTACTTTGTTTAGCAGAAAATATTTCCGTCGTAAACTTTGTCGCAGCTTCGGGATGTAAGACACGCATTCGCGCGAGCACGTGCACACCGGAATAACGTCACGCAAGTACAGCGGTTCTATTCACACTCACTGGAATCTCCCCAATGAAACTCTTTCACGCGAGCGTGAACGAAGTACAAGCATCGATTCGATGCACGAGTAGCGTTCGGATTTTTAACCAGCCGACATGACAAGAAGTAGCCACTTTACAAGATATGCCGCCTACGCTACACTTCAGCCAGAATTTAAAGTACGGTGCGTCGCGCGAGTTTAGTCGCCGGTAAATCACGCATGCCTACATAAAAGCGTTCGTCGAGTGAGAGCAGCTGGCGTGCCGATTTGGCAGAAGTAATTCGCGAGTTTTCCTAGATCGCATACCTCCGATAAACGGTCATTCCGGAAGCGAAATTCAATGTCGCGATTTCTAAACGCGTGTAAACAAGGTTATTTTTCATCAACTAATCGCTAATAAATCTAGCAATATTTTTTAAGCACTACAAATAATTTAACTTGATCAAAGATTATCAGCAAAAAAATACTTTAAAATCATTATTAAAGGATAGACACAACAATCGCTCTCTAAAATAATTGAAAACAGACTTTTGCTCTATGCAAATAAAAAAGAATTCTTATTGTTGTATATAAAAATAAAAATATATATGTGTGTGTGTGAATTACTTACCGAATCCCATTCGTACTTCTTCTTCGTCGTCACTGTCGATATGCTTGATTCCCGCCACTTCGAAACTCTTTGCAGATTGTTCCTTTCGCGAAACGGACGCAGAGGAAAAACAGTCGCAGTTATCCTCGCCGCAACCGCAGTCGTCGCCAGCGCATCTGCATCCCAACAGCGGATCGTCCGTGTCTATATTCCTGCACGCCGGACAGGGGAACGTCATATCGTCGAGCGAGACCCTTTCAATTTTTCTCTCGACGGTGACAAGCAGACTGCCTATGTATGCCGGCAGATCCTCGTCGCTAATATCGTCTGGACCACCCGCGTTCCGCAATCTGTCCTCGAGATCTTTCGGTGAATCATCGGTGACGTGGTTTCGCCGCAAAACGCTTTCCTCGAATTGCAGAGGACTCTTCAGATCTTCGGGTGCGATCAACCTGCTGCGCATTTCGCACCTACTGCTCTCCTTCCATTTTTCCATTGTTGTGGGGGAGACCACCTTGGTGCATCGCTTCACTTTGGCGCGACTCTCGTCGCCGCCGATGGGACTAGAGGAATTCTTGGAACACGCTCTGCGACTCGAGCTTCGATCTAGTTCGTCTTCACCGTCGAGGTCGTCCTTCCAAGTGTTGACACTGGACGCGGACCTGGACTTCATTACTGTGGCAGTATGACCGGACTCGCTGATCGCGTGATTCTCACGACAGAACTGGTGTTCCAGCCTGTCGATCGACCTGGCTTCCTCCCGACGATGTTCAGCGCTGTTGGTTCTGTTGATCTCGCGTGTCCTCGGACGCGCGTCTTCGCGCGATCTTCGCCGTGGACGACCGGTGGTTTTCATCACGCTCGAGGGTTGCGCTCCGCTGAGATTTGCACTCGCCGTATTCGACGAGCTCGGCTGACCCTTGTTTGTCAGGTCCCGCCAATCCATAAACTCGTCTTCACGGTCCCAACCCAAGATCCCCGGGGCCCTCATCGACGTAGTTCGCCAGACTACTGCTATCTGCGAACAGCAATAATTTTGATCGTAACTCGCTCTTATTTTTATTGTCCATTTGATTTACGTTCATGTTAAGAATATTTATTACGTCAAGAAATTTCCGATTTTAATATTAACGACATTTATAATTTAAAGTCAATTTTTTCGTAAGAAAAATATAAAATAGTAATAATACCTTTTGCCAATTAAACTTCAAAAAAATTGTTAGTAAATAAAAGAATCCAATTCTTTACTTAATTTCAACTGAATTTTATTTAAACAATATTTTAATCTAAACTTTTTTATTATGAAAATATTAGTGTTAAGAATATTATAAAATTATGAAAAAAAAATTCACGATTTCAACATTAAATTTATTACAGGAAAATTTATCATATTATTGTAATATTTCTTATCAAGTATTTATAAAAGCATATTGAATTTAGCCGGTCTGCGTAACTCATTGTCATGATAAATCAGCTAGCTTGGCACATTTCTAAGAATACGGGAAAACGTTATAAGCGTTATAAGCGTGACAATGCCGCGTCGGCATTCTCAGATACACGTCCTTTATTGCCCGGAGAGGAGCTTAAACGCGCATCTAATAATGCGCGTGCCATTACGCGCCTGCATCCGATGACTGTTAATATTTATGTCGAGGACCTCGTCGTACGATCACGCGGGAAGAACGCTGAGAATTCCGGCCGAGTCTTTTCGACGGTCGGAGGTGTCATTCTCTCACGGTGGTACACGGAGGACATCACTGGCGCGGCTTCCTTGTGACAACGAAAAGAGGAGAGAGGAAGAGAAGAGAAGAGAGAGAGAGAGAGAGAGAGAGAAGGGGATACAGAGAAAGAGGGGAAAAAATTAAAAGGGACATGACTCACCTCAACGGTATTTTGCTCGACGGCTTCACCGGCGGTCGTAGCGCCGCTGACCGACGAGGTAGTTGCAGTTGCAGTTGCAGTTGCAGTTGCAGCAGCCGCGCTGCGTACGCAAAGGTAACATTCCCCGAGACGCAGTGCGGACGCCTCGAGCTCACCCAGCTGCAGGATCAGGCCGCTGCCGCCTAACGTCAGAGGCCAGCCCTCAGGCACCACTGCCTCGTTTCCCTGCAATCAGACAAATGGATCATGTCATATCTCGCGTCTGATCATCACGTGGATGCTTTCGCGTTAAACATCGTAATTTTCATCATGTTCCGATAAAGCTAAACTCTGCCGCACACGTCGTTTTCCAAATATTCTGCTGAAGAGAAACTGACATTTTCAAATAATAAAAATAAAAAAAATAAGGATATGTACATGAAAGCGTGGGAGGAATTAAGACGTAGGAAAGCGGTATGTTAATTGCGTTGATTGCAGGATATAACTAGAATTAAAACGATGTGCAGTCAGTCAGTCAGTAAATGTTCTTTCTCTGCTGAAAAGCATACGTTGATGAGCAGGAATTTAATCCGAGTCAAAACATTTCGCACACAAAGCAAAGAAAGTGGCAAAGTATTCTGCGTGGAATGTGTTAATGTTGAAGATTGCATCTTGAAGTATTTTTTGTGCATGCCAGAATATTACATCAACACTAGAAAGTTTGACGTTAATTGCATTAATGATGGTTAAGTCATGTAATAATTAGCATAATTCCAAATAAAAAGAATTAATTATATAACAATTATGCTCAGAAATAAAAAATTAGTGAATTTTTTCAGATTTTAATAATGTAAAGAATTGAAAAATAAATAACTTTATTGATATATAATGCTAATTATTATACCGTACTTTAAATAATGTAAAAAACTGAAAAATAATGCTATCAAATAGGACACGCTAATTGTCGACACTATCGCGATGTTCATTTCTAAGCACACCGTCGCATTTAATTTAATATCGAGTCTTTTACGATTCATATCTCCCCATCTTTGAAGGAGAAGAGATCGCCGAAGGTGCGAGACTCTCGCAAGAGCACTTTGCAATAACGCCTACATACATATGTCGACCGGCGACTACGTGACTCGTCGTGTAAGCAATTAGACGGTAGGATAGCGCAAATAAAGGGCGGCAACTGAATGCACACAACGTGCTTCGGGTCCGTAATTACAAGCAAATGAAACGCACCCATTCGGTCGTCCACGATTTTCATTATCGAAACTGATACACACGCACGACTGCATTCCGTGGGGAAATGGAACTTTATCAAATAGAGTCGGTCGATCGGGAGACCATTCGACGACGATTCATCAATTCGTTGACGCAAAATTAATTAACTTACGACAAAAAGAAATACTAACGTTGGCCGCACAATGTAAAAGTGACATTTTTATTAGATATTCGCTTCGCTTTTCTAAGTTTAATCTTTCTTTTGTGTTTGATTTATTTATATACTACAGATAATATCTGCATTGTTTATGATACAAATGGAATCATTACAAAAAACAAAGCTGCGACTTCGCTCACTATATTTATTTTTAAAAACACGTTTTTGCAAAGAATGTTCGGCAACGGTAACCAATATATTGTGTTAATTCGAGCCCTTGAAATATACATCTACGAATAAAAAATTTCAAGTTTCACGCGTTCGCTTTCTCATCAATTTTCACTTACTGTTCATATCTCCAACAAATTTTTTAAAAATTAAGGTGGAAATCCCATGCAGCAAGGCGAAAGCGCAGTATCGTAAAATTTCATCGAGCGTCCAATGCCACATTGTCAACGGTCTAAGTCTCTCTCGTAGTCGCCTTCGCACTAATCAGTGTGAAGGTGACTACGAGAGAGAATGCAGAGACCATGTTGTTTGACCATGACGCCGAGACGGACGTTTATGATGCGCGATAAGGAAACCAGAGGCCCTCTTGCCTGTCAACCAAGTGTCTCATTAGCGGTATAAACGCCGTATGAGAGAATGTATCTGGCGCCGAAACTAAGCGGCTTTCACTGCGTGATTTACCGATGTATGTACTGCCTCCCTGCCTCGATTTACGTGCGCTACGGCTTGCCTACGCCGCACGCGGAAACTCCGTGTGAATGTTTTCAATGATCAGCGGCAAAACGGAAGGTCCCGACGGGACAACGGTCTAGCGAGCGCCGGCGTAAATCAGACCTTATCGCCGCGGAATTCGCATTAGGCCGCTAAGTGCGAACGCTGGTGCGTTAAATTTCATCGCTCTCGATACTCGCTCGTTTCTCAGACGCATGGCGAGGAGAATTTATCAGTCGCCCTGGCGCCGCATCGCCGCGTAATAATTTTAACGTTATCGACGATTTTTCGCGCCGCGATCGCGCGCTCTGTTACGCGCGACTAGTATGATCGCGTTGGTACGAACCGAGACTAGTTTGAAAGATGCGTTAAGAAGCATTTCAACAAATTAGAATCGCTTACTTTCTTAATGCCAGTAAGTTGTAGAAGCAAAGGAGAGATATGAATCATAAACTTTCTAGTCTTATAAAAAAAGACATGAATAATTTGAAGAAATAAAGATCATTTATTATCTTTGTACGAAAGTAAAGCGAAATAAATTTTGGAAATTTTTTTCAAAAAATGGAAAAAATATTTTAATTTTTAATATTTTATTTTAATATTTTAATTAATCACACAAAATTTTTTAAATACTTTTACACTTAACTTGTTATAGTGAAATCGATGATTTGAACTATACTGAATTAGTGCACATTAAAGGCTGCCAAATAAAATACCTAAATGCAGTGATATAATCTAATCAATTTTGATAATGAAAGAATACATTTCTATTCTGCTGAACAATACGTGACAATATCGTTAAGCAATTGATTATTAAAAATATTTCTATATGTTTACATTTAATTTAGCTAATTTCATGTATAGCAGCTTTTAGTGTGTACTAATCTTGCGTGTGCAAATGCCCGAATTCGCTATAAATCACATATACACGACTTAGAAACGATCTGCCTTATTTTCGATTTGATAAAAGCGACTTGGTAAGTTTTCAAATCAATCATTAGCCGTTTTACGATCGGCATCATCCTAACTGGCTAATGCGGTCGTGCGGCGAGAGCAGCGCATAAATAAACGTTCTCCCTAAAGCGATATCCACTCGATCTAAGAAAAAAAATCCGTAATAGACGATTAAACGAGAAAGATAAAAGGGAAGGGAGACTCATAGGAGACGCGCTGACTGCCGTGCCGGATGCTGTCAAAGTGACAGACGCGTGCACGCGACGAGAGCTCATTAATCGGCTGCTGCACCACACGGCGGTCGATGCATTGACGAGCTTGCATCTACGTGACTCACACGAGAGAAGATACACGCACGCGAGTCGGAGTAGCACGCGCGGAAGTATCGGAGCGGATACATCGAAACACATTTTACAGCGGCCCGATCTGATGAAAGTCCGGCAAGACTGATTGCGATCTGGCTGCCGCGAGGAAGTGAGGAAGCAAAGAAGGGAAAAAGAGAAAGATAGAGATAGGGAGAAGGAGAGCGCGAAGGAGAGAAACGATTCGCGGACTTGTTCCTCGGACTCCGTCAAAAAAAAAAATGCGCACGCGCCCCGCCGACCGCCCGTGGTAAACACGCTGTGTATGTTGCGATCAAATTAATCGGCATGACATCGTTACTTCTCCGAGTCGGACGTCTTTCACTCTGCGCTCCCGAGCGCGTCTCTCGATCCGAATGGGGAAGTCTTAACCGCGATCGTCTCCGGCGCGAAAAAATATAACGGTCGAGCACAGAGGTTGAGAGGAAAGAGAGAGCGAGCGCGGATTTACGACGGTATGTATCGGGTTACCAACGGTGCTAATTGCGATTTGCGTAAATTCGCGCGAGTTTATTTTTATTCGGTAAATTTCTCAAAGTGTTGATCGCGTGGCTAATTGAATGAAGAAAATTATACGGACATTTCATGTGAAAAATAATAAAATCTAAAGAGGAAAGAATAAACCGTCGAATATAAGCGAGAAATTCGAACAGATTTTATTAGATCTATTATTTGCTAAAAAATCAAAAGATGAGTCCAGTTATTGTATTAAAAATGTCCTATATTATTTCAACTGATACCTATATTTAATCTACTTACTATATTTATTCATCTCCTATATTGCTATTCCTGACAATGCTTAATACAATGCTTTATGAATTTTTCAAGACAAGCTATCGATTCAATGCGTCTTTACCAATAAAAACTTTACGTGGTCTATATAAATGTCAAGTCAATAGCGATCAACAAGACTGATCGATTTAACGTGCTAGTTCTCCTCATATTAATACAGCGTTGTCGTGGAATTATGTTACCATGCTTCAATGTAGAACTTTCGGTACCACGGAAAAGAAACCGAGGTGAATACCGCAGAGATGCGATCTAGCAACTTGCGAGACGTGCCACGGATGCGGCAACGGGATGTATGCATGCGGGCGGTGCATAGAACGCGACGGGTCTGACCAGTAAACGCGCCGTGAACACAGGCGTGCACAAGCCGATTCCCTCTTCGTGGTACGGCTCGTTTAAAATGCAGATTAGACTTTATACCGGCATCCTTTCAGCGCGAATTGCCGACCGGCGCGGCGTCGACGTGGCAACGGCACCGATCAACGCTTGGCTAAAGCAGCATCTACAATTAAACGCATAGGCAGACAAACAGATGAAAAGAAATTTATTGTATTGCAGTACGTAACATAAATATAAATATTTATCCGAAAATGATAGATAAGTAAACTATATAAATTATATTATGTTATTAGCTAAAAATAATAAAAACACAGGACGCTCGCGTTGAACGAATAAATTGCATAAAAGTATAATAAAAAACGAATTATACGATCTATGACGAAATAAAGCATTAAAAAATAAATCCAAGGGTATAAATTGAGGTACTATTTCTTCAATCATCAGTTGAAGATTGAAAAAGAAAACTTCGTGCAATGAGCACGTGTTCATCTCTACTCAAGGTATTTGACAGTATATAAAAAATAGCTAAACAGACGCAACGACGTTCACATTATTATTGCACGAGCACGAAATTTGTTTGTAAAACGTGTAGCAGAAACCGATTTGAATGCATTCATAATACGCCCTCAAACATAAATGTGTTTAAAGCTGCGGCTTTAGATGCAGTTTCGCAATGAACCTTTCTGAATATTCACGAC